ACTATAGATCCTTTGGTTCTTCTTAAGGGATTTAACAATTTAGGGGTTTAGGGTTTAGGGTTTAAGGGTTTAGGGTTTAGGGGTTTAGGGTTTAGGGGTTTAGGGTTTAGGGTTAAGGGTTTAGGGATTTAAGAATTCAAGTTACCATTGAACAAACCATATTATTTACTATAGATCCTTTGGTTCTTCTTAAGGGATTTAACAATTTAGGGGTTTAGGGTTTAGGGTTTAAGGGTTTAGGGTTTAGGGGTTTAGGGTTTAGGGGTTTAGGGTTTAGGGTTAAGGGTTTAGGGATTTAAGAATTCAAGCTACCATTAAACAAACCATTTTATTTACCATAGATGCCTTGGTTCTTCTTAAGGGATTTAACAATTTAGGGGTTTAGGGTTTAGGGTTAAGGGTTTAGGGGTTAAGGGTTTAGGGTTTAGGGGTTTAGGGTTTAGGGTTTAGGGATTTAAGAATGCAAGTTACCATTAAACAAAGCCCGTATTACTTACTATAGATCCCTTGGTTCTTCTTAAGGGATGTGAGAGTTTGGGGGTTTGGGGATTAGGGTTAAGTGTTTAGGGGTTTAGGGTTTAGGGTTTAGGGTTTAGGGTTTAGGGACTTAAGACTGTAGGTTACCATTGAAAAAGCCCATATTATTCACTATAGATCCCTTGGTTCTTCTTAAGGGATTTAAGGATCTTGGTTACCATTCAAATAACCCATATGATTTACTATAGATCCCTTTTGTGGTAACTTAAACTAAATCCCTTAACAAGAACCCAGTCAATAACAAGCTTTCATAGAAGAGTCCTCAAGTCTTTGTCGTTGACTGGTGGCAGCTTGCTGCTGGCAATCCCGCCCATGGCTGCGGACTTCGCAGCACCACATGCGTGGCGTGGTGCAGGATCGCACGCGTGATGCTATCAGGGCTCTGAGACGTGGGATTCAATGCTTCTGGCGTTCAAGATTGGTGAATGCTGGGCTTGGGGCTTGGGACTTGTGGTGCTCATGATTTGGTCCTTGGAAGGGGTTGATGTTGAAGAAAGTCGTACCGCATCGGAGCTGCCTGACAAATGGTCCGGGATTGCTTGCATGCAATACTGGGGGTTCTGTCACTGGCCATTGCCTCCCACTTGTATAAAGAAAGCTCGAGCATCAACCCACATCGTGTTCCCTCACAAAACTTCACGGCATTGAGGCCCCTGTCTTCTGGAATACCGGCTGAAAACATGATGACATGAGATGTGGCGGAGGCCAGGTCTGGCAGTGCATGGGCCAGACGAGTGCTACCCAAGCACACAGGTTCAATCCACTTTTCACATGGCGCCACAGTTCTCTCGCAGCAGCGATGACTATGGCCTAGCTCATTAGCATGTGTGTGGTTGTCAAAATTATGGTCCCTTTTTGGATCCTTATTTTAATACGGCACCTATTATTTAGGGTACCCCAAAAGGGACCATAATTTTGACAACTACCCATGTGAATGCGGCAGGATTTCCTGTAGCTATGCGACTGAAGGCTCTGGTTCGTATCAGAACAAGTTCCCATAGTCTCCATTGTAGTTCCTTTGTTTGGGGTTTAACCAATTACATGTTAAGGATTTTGTAAGGCATCCCCAAAAAAGGAACTACAATGGAGACTATAGGTACTTACTTCGTGGGAATTAGCTTCATGTCCATGCTCTCCCGCACAAAGTGACACCAGCAAATAAGCATGTCCACAGCTTGTGGTGGAGCGGGTGTCGCGTGCTGCGTCGCCTGCTTAACTGTTAGAAACAGAGGCACCGCGTATGTGCACCTTCTCAGCTCATGCTTCTTGTTGGGAATGCCGCGGTGCTCCTCAGAGTATGTGGCAGACGGTCGGCAGATGTGTCATGCTTCTGATATCTACACCTGCTGTGCGTACCTTGCTCTTTGCCAATGCCGATAAGTGCCAATGGTGCTGTAGATTTCATGCTGCAAATACGGCGCCTCTCAAGCCTGACCGACGATACTCTCTTCACATGACGCACCGACGCCTAGCCATGCCTAGCCCAAACTGATTTCTCTGTTTCAAGATACCTGACACACACACACACACACACTCTCACACACACACACACACTCACTAAATGGCTACGAGCAGCTACTGTAGTAGTTGTGCTACTGATGATGATGCTGTTGTTGATGGTGGTACTTATATTCTGTAAGGAAGGCATCAGCAAAATGCAATGGCACGACATGCCAAGAGCGGGGCTAACCCTCTTCACAACAAAACATGCCACTAACGTAGCAGAAAAACAAACCTCTCATTCGCCAGAAAGCAGATCTTGCTAAGCCTCGGGCACGCACGAGGCTAGTTGTTGAGTGCACACCTTTGCGACTCGCTGAGGTGGACGTGGCTGTAGAGTAGAATCCGCTTTGTTTTCAGCTCTAGGGGCACTCACTCTGGTAAGCTCATCTCAAAGAAATGCTTCCGGGTGACCCTGGTGCAGAATCACCCGTTGGCCTTGAATTTCTTCGGTCAAACCTTGATAAGGCTTTAGTTTAGTTTAGGCTTTTTGGTATCCAACTGCTGAGATGGAAGGGTTAGGAAGCACAGGTCGCGAGTGGCGGGCGAAAGGGTCCGGAACCACGGATTGTCGTTTTCTATTGGTGGTGTCCCCTTCGCATGTTGTATCTGCGCGATGCTGCAACGCACTCTGCACATCTGCAGGCCCGAGGTACCCTTGCAAGTCTTGTGACCACAGTCGTCCCCAGCTTCGCTGCTTCACGCATCCAGAGCTGAGGCATAAATCTTATCCAGCTCAGAACACGAATCCCTAAATGTGAATTATCTAACCAACTTTATGGAAGGTCCAATAGCCCTTCGAGGACCTTGAGCCCTAAACCCCCTAAGCCCCAAATTTTTAAGCTGGTCCTTACTTGGAGGTTCATGGGTAGTTATAAGTAGGGTTATAAGTAGGGTAACTATACTCTTATAACCCATATTGGCCGAGTTATAATCCGACGTATAACTACCCATGAACCTCCGAGTAGCATAAAGAAGATCCTTCTAGGAGCTTGAGCTCTAAACCCCCTACACCCTCAACCCTAAACCCTAAACCCTAAACTCTCTAAACCCTAAACCCCTAAACCCTAACCCCCTAAACCCCTAAGCTGGCCCGTAGCCTCCTGACCACCCTATAGGACCCTTTAAAGGAACCCTTGAAAGGAACCTAAACCCTAAACCCTAAACCCCGAACCCCAAAGCTGAATCTAAATCCCTATAGGACCCTTTAAAGGAACACTTTAAAGGAACCCTTCAAAGGAACCTAAAACTGGCCTGTAGCCTCCTGGGCCTCCGGGCCAGGATTCGCCTCCCAGCGACTGCTTTGCGGGCGGATTCTTCGTCTCGAAGGACAGATACGCCCGGCCTCGCGAGGGCCCGGGGGGTCCTTCTGTAAGCTTGGAGTAGGGTTCGGGGTTTAGGGTTTAGGGTTTAGGGTTTAGGGTTTAGGGACCCTTACCCTCAAAGGACTCATATTTTGAGGCTTTTGGGCCCAAAGACCCTATTATGGAAAGCTTTTTGGGCTAGTTTAATGCTGGGGGTAAGGTTAGAGTAGGGTTTGCACTGGGTCTGCGAGCATGGTATACTTTAATTTCCCTAAACCCTAAACCGTATACCTTAATTACATTGGGGACTACAAGGGGCGACCTAAACCCTAAACCCTAAACCCTAAACCCTAAACCTTAAAACACCCTAAACCCTAAACCCTAAACCCTACAGCCCGGTGTATGACGGATTCGGACTTTGAGCT